AAACAGCTTTAAGGCAGCTGAATGCATTGAGAAAAAAATATACAACATAAACATTAAGATGTAAAATGAACACAACATTCAAGCAAGTAGTTTACTTACCAGGTCTTGACATCTAAAGAGGAGAGGGTTTCTGGCATCTACTATCTGGACTACAATATCACTGCAAAAGTAAAGGGAAGCCCAATAAAGTACTCCTCCTTACCTTGCCTCAAAGAAAGCAGTAAGACACAACAATTATTCACTTCTAGGTTTTCCTTGGAATTTTAATAGCTTCAACTGTATTATCCCACTAAATATCTTTACTGAACAACAGAGCACCTCAGCAGCCCACCTGCACAACAGAGCCGTGCTTGTGCTACAAGCCAGTACTGCCATACAGTGTTTCCTCCTCACTTGGCTCATTCTCCTGCACAACCGTACAGCAAGGGGGAAAAAACATGCCAGTTTTGCCAACCCATCTACCCTTCAGAAATGCTCAGCAGGCAAGAACCACAGTACTGGTACTTCATTCACTTCTGAGACTGCCTCTACATGAAATAAAAAGTTCTAACAGCAGCAGAAAGGCATTAATGACACTTTCCAGTCACCTCAAAACACCCTGCACACTCACAGTGCACATCATGATACCCTACAATGGATGCTCCTGACCAGCACTCTCCCAGCCAAAGGCCCAGCAGCACTCAGTACAAAGCCCTTTCTGTGAAAGGACCAGCTCACCATGACCTCACTGGTGAAGTATTTTTCAATTTTAGGAAAGTGAGATGAGATGATCTTAAACCTAATTACTAGTGAAATTAAATGCCCGTTAGATTAACGTAGGAGATAGCACTCTTACTGTATTACAGCTCAGCAGAGTAAACAAAGCTATTCCTGTGGTATGACAGCCCATTGTCTTCTGCACACTGCTGTGACCTCTCTGTGTGACAAAGAGACAAAGGGTTCCTTTTTTCCCCAACATTACTTACTCTTTGCCTCCTGCTCCTGAATATTAGCTGCTGCAGTTTGGTTGGGAAGGAGGGGAAGGGGTTAATCCTGGCAAGAGACCTCAAAGGCACTTTCTCAAAGGAGGCCTCCAACACAGAGTTACTGGGGAAGGCCAAGAGACTCACAGTGAACCACTGCACATCACACTGCTGAGAGCTAGCAGGCACCACAAAAACAAAATCACTGCAGTGCTGATAATAAAACATTACTAACTTAATAATTTTTCCTGTGCTGAGACACTTGAAGCTTGTCTCAAAAGCTGCAATTCATAAAAATACATTCAACATCCCTTTTTAAAAAGCGGATAGCAAAATACTTTACCTTCTTTCAATGACTCTCCAAAGCTGACGCCAAAATTCCAAGTTTCTTTCAAATGGGGTTAGAATTAACTTTTTCTCTTCTTCGAGGCTAAGGCAAAACAGAAAAAACAATGTCACATTTAGTCTATGGCAGGCTGTAAGCTTACTACCAATTCTTCCCTAGATCCAGGAGGCCTTAGTTTTGCAGAGAGTAATCAAACCAAACTCATATAGAGGTACTATTTCTGATTTTTTTTTTTTTTCAAATAGATCAAGTGCTCAGGTACACTGCTGTCAGTGGCACTGGTTTAGTGGTGACACAATGGCTTCTGATCTTGTCAATGGAGAAGTGGTAAAAGATGGAAAGAACAAGAACTCATCAAGAGTCTACCTGTGAAATTTGAGAGCCATGATAATAAATGAGAGAAGTTATCCCAAGTGTCAGTAGTTTTTTTCTTAATTGAGTAACACTTGGAAAAAATAACAAAATCTGGGGATACTACCTCAAATACCTCTATACAACCTTTACCTTGGTGTTACCACCCCCTGAACAACTTTACTCAGGGTAAGCATGGGTCTGCATGATGTGAGCAGATACCACCCAACTCTCCAAGGCAGTGGATGCAGCACCAGACCAGCACAAGCTGCTGGATGCAGCAGGCTGGCAGCACTGCCTTCTATTCAGAGCAGTGCTACTGCTCTTAAAAGACACATCCAGTAACCCTCTACTTCACAGGCAAATGAAGAACATCACATGCCATCCTGAACTATTTTAAAAGAACATGCACACACAAGACAGCTTTACAGAGCTGACCACAAAGACATGCTGGACTGTGGCTGGAATGTCCAGCCTTCCAGGACAAGTACAAAGAGCTACCGAGTAGACATCAGTTTTATTGGTCTAACCAGGATAAGTACAACCCGCTGCTTCCTGTGTCACTAAATGCCACCAGCTACTTACCCAGCCACAAGCTGCATACTCACTGGGCAAGCTGTCGCCTCCACTCGAGAAAGCTCTCTCTCTCTGCTTGCTTCAAGTCCTCTGCACTGGTTGTCCTATCCCAGCGTGGCCTATAACAAGCACATTTTGGGTTGGTCAGAAACAGCAGTCAGTCCAGCTACAATACTTCAGCAAACATAAAGAACATAAACACCATACATTCAGCTATGCTAAAGTAATGTTTCCGATGTGCATGCATCTATTTTGAGCCCTTTTAAGTACACCTTCTTTGCTTGATCCTTCCAAACTCCATTAGCATACAATATGTAGACCATACACCACAGAGCTGTTTTCTTGAGCTAAGTTTTGCAGGGTCCTTAAGATGGGGATTAATCTCTCTGTTCACCATTCACAGAGCTCTGAAAGGTCTCACCAGGCAGCCTGGATGCACCTGCTACAGCAGTGCCAAGCTTTGGGCAAGAAACCCACACCATGAGGCCAGAGAGGCTGGCTCTGGCAGCACTCACATGCGACACAGGCAGCTGTGCTGTGGGTCACAGCCTGCTCATGCGGGTTAGCTAGTGGCTTCTCCAAAAGGAGAGCACTGCCAGCCCTCCCTGAGGGCTGCAGCCACGGAGGGATCAGCCACGGAGCCCCAGGCAGCCCTGCAGAACTCACCTCCGCGGGATGCGCAGGAACTCCTGATTCTCCCGGTGCAGCTGCCGAACGCGCTGGGCCTCCTGTGCTGTGAGCAGGCCCGTGCAGCTCTGGGCAGACACGATCTGGGCGTTCAGACGCTCTGAAAGCAGAGACAGTCACCCAAAGCCACCCGTCCCCAGCGCTGCCCCCCATCCTGTGTCCCTGCTGACCCCAGCCCTGGCTCGGGGCCGACCACCTGCCCCAGCTCCCGCCCAGCCAGACCCGCTGCCAGCTCCCACTCACACCCCCTCATCCCAGAACCGGTCCCGCCCGGGATCCGCTCCTCGGCCCGGCCCGTCCCAGCTGCTCACCGGCCATGAAGCGGGTGCCGGCCAGCTCGGCCGTGGCCAGGAACTCCTCCAGCGGGCTCTGCTCGGGCGCCGACCGCAGCTCCGGGCCGCGCTCGGCGACCAGCTCGCTGGCGTGCAGCTGCGGGACAGGACACCAGCGTCAGCCCGGGCCGCCCGGCCTCTGCCCCGCACCCCGGCCCCGGCTTACCCATGAGGAGGCGCCGCGCCGCTCCAGCCCGCGCTGCCGCTGCAGGCAGCGCCCGAGCCCATCGCCCCGCTTCTTGCCCATGTGCCGCCGCCGCCGCACCGCCGACGGAAGGGGCGGCCCGACCGCCGCGTTTCCCTCGCCCTGCCCGGCCCCTTCCGCAGCCGGGCCCCTTCCCGGCCCGGCCCGGCCCCTTCCCGGCCCGGCCCCTTCCCGGCCCTGCCCGGCCCCTTCCCGGCCCTGCCCCGGCCCGGCCCGGCCCGGCCCCTTCCGCTGCCTCCGCCGCACCCGGCCCGCGCTGTTCCGGCGGCTGCCACCAGGCGGCGCCACCGCACCGGCCCTGGCCCGCGCCGGCCATGGCGCTCGGACACAGCGGGAACCCGCACAAGGCGAGGTTTAGTGGGACATGAAGAATAATTTCTCAGCTGAAAGGGCGATTAGACGTTGGACTGGACTGCACAGGGAGCTGGTGGAGTCACCGTCCCTGGAGCTGTTTAAGAATGTGGTACTTAGTGCCATGGTCTAGTTGATATGGTGTTGGACTCTATATCAGAGGTCTTTTCTAACCCAATTGGTTCTGTGACCATCCATCCATCCATCCATCCATCCATCCATCCATCCATCCATCCATCCATCCATCCATCCATCCATCCATCCATCCATCCATCCATCCATCCATCCATCCATCCATCCATCCATCCATCCATCCCACCCTATGATGCTCAGTATGGACACACATCTCTCTGGGTCTCCCCTCCTCAGGCTCAGCTCTAACCCCTTCCCTCCCATAGCAGCCACCAGCCCCACCAGTAATGAGGCTGGGGGCATGGTTCACTCCCATCCCAAGGTTGGTGCTGCAGCTGGAGGCCCTGGCAGTGGGGTGGCACGTAGGGCTGCCAGCCCCAGCCCAGCCCGTGGCAGTGCCAGCAGCATTGGGGCCACTTTCTTTTGCTGGTTTGTCCTGGTGCAGATTCTATTAGACCACATTGTGCAAAACCCTGCCAGGCAGCCAGCCATGGAGGCAGGGCTTTTTGTCTCCCTCCAGGGAAAGCCATCACCTCCTGTGGCCAAGTTTGTGCCCTGTAACACAGCCAGGCCAGTGCAGGTTCCCCTTCCCTTGTGTCCACCATCCCAGTACAGCAAACAGCGCATGCGAGGAATGATGGTGGCAAAGTGGGATCCTGGATGCAGCTGTGGGAGGCACACTGTGAGGTTGCTGGCAAAATCTAGCCAGAGTCTGGGCATCTTTGCCAGATGGGGGACATTGCATGACCAGCCAGGGAACCACTGAATGGATTTCAGCACCAGCTGTTGTGACTGGTCCGGGTCAAGATGGGAGAGCAGGTTAAATTAATAAACAACTTGACCTGTACTTGCTCACTGAACTGATTTATGAAGGATTTGTCCTTTATGGGTGTTGGGTTAAGGCCAGATAGTTTTCACTACGACTCTGTAATGTGTATCAGTTGTAACTGGAGAATAACCTGTCTAATCCCTGGAAAACAGAGGCAGACAAAGCTTAACTTCAGGAGCTGGCCACCAACAGCATGGCAGCATGCACAACCCCCTGGGTGGGAACGGTCTTTTCTCTCTTCTCTTTTCTTTATTTTTTCTTTTCTCTTGCTCCATGATAAATGCCCATTAGGAAGACACAGCTTTCTTTTCTTCTTCTTTTCAAAAGCCAGTAACTGCATGGCATAAATTTCCCAAGGACGTCTGATCCTTTGCCATGCTCATCTCAGGCTCTGCCGCCACCACCAGTCTTGTCTGGCCCCTCCTTTGCTTCCTAAAGGCAAATAAGAGAGATGAAAGGGGACTCAGCAGTCGCCTTTTCATTTAGGTGAGGTGCTTCAATGGAAGGCTGGTGGGCTGCAGACAGCAGGCAGACATTTAGTAAAATAATTTCTAATTAAGTAATCTTTAATAAAACCATCTCAAGTCTTTATGTGGGCACTGAAGCAGTAATATAAGTGCTCATTATTGTCTTTCTTTTGTACTTCAGTTAAAAGTTACCTTCCCTCTACAATGCATAATCACCAGCCAGAGCAGGCAGCCAGCCTGGCTGATCCCCACACCTTGGCAGCACTTCTAACCCCACAGCTGAGGCACGTGCAGTGCCATTCCCAGGCTGCCCAACCACAGGAAAAATGCTCCAATAATCCCATTGGCACAGCCCTGGCAGCACAGCCTCGGCACCACTGGGGTCTGGAGACTGTCAGTACAGAGTGCAGAGCTCAATGGACCTCCATGGGACACTTGCAGCAGTGTTCAGCTGCATGAAACAGAAACTCGAGGATGGACAGAAGGGCTGGTGCAGTGGGAAAAGGAGGAAACTGGAAACAGACACTTGAGGACAGGCAGAAGGGCTGATGCAGTGGGAAAAGGAGGCTTGCTCCACCACCTGCAACCCATCCTGGGGCAGGGAGGTTCGAGGGTAACCTGAAGAACAAAGATCTCTGTATTTAGATTGGGATGTTTTTCCCACATGTTGCCCTTCTGCCCCCCCCCCCACCTTTCCCCATTTCTAGACTGAAGTGCTTCAGGGGACAGTTAACTGCAAGTATTTTCTACCACCTTTGTGGGACCTACTTAAGCAATGTCCAAATTGCCCTCATTGTTGCAACACTTATGTCTCTGGGCATTTCATAAACACCAAGGAATTATTTCTGTCTGATGATGCCAGCAGCACTGCAAAGATCACTTTGAGCAGAGCAGTGCTGAAGGAGATACAGACTGGGTCATTCCAGTGACAAAACCAACACAGCTGGAGTAGTAATTGTGTATTTCTAATTGCCACGTTTCTCATCCCTCTCCCATTGCTCTGCTGTGCCTACCTGAGCAAGACAGGCTGCTGCTGGTCTTATCTGAACACGACAGGCTGCTGCTCCTAGAAGACATTTATGCATGGATTAATCAGACACAGTTGAAAGGGAAACTGAGGAACAGATGCTGTCACAAGAGCTGCACAGAGGCAGCCTGGCACAGAGTGTGGGTGCCAAGAGCACAGGAGAGCTTGAAGGAGAGGGCACGCTGCTGTGAAGTGTGATAAAACTGTTGATTTACAGCCCATTCCCATATGATGCAGTAGCTACCACTGCATGCAAAATAAACACAATTTTTGCTGCTGGGCTTTGTTTGTACAGCTCGTCTCTTTGACAGAGATGGGCTGGACTGAGGTGTTGTCCTGGGAGAGAAAGCACCCCTGTGCATCACAAAACTTCTCACCACTCCTTTGAAAAGCACGAGTGCCCAGCACTGTTGGATCTTTGGAAGCGGTCACAACTTCAGGAATTCTCACAAAACCATTGCATAGGCAATGTAAAATCTGCTGTCCTTCCAGCACATTGTAATCATTGTCTTAGGCTTCTCTCCCAACAACTTCTGCCTTGGAGCCAAACCACTGCTCCAGTTTTTGATGCCTATCCTGAGAATTATTATTTAGCAGCAGCAGCTCTTTTTCAAAAGCCAGTGATAACAGGGAGTTTTTGCCTAAAGGAAACATCGTTCTTTCTGGACAATTTTTCCTCCATGTTCCTTTAAGGCAGCACTGGGAGATCTCAGGGCTGTGTCTCTAAAATATTCATGTGATGGCTATTCATTATTCATGTTCACAATGCTCAATTCAGCAGTACTGCCAGCCTCACCCTGACAAGCAGACCCATTAAGAAGCTCTCCCCACAACACCCCTGAAAGAAAACCAAGACAATTTTGCTCTGTGCACAACTGCAGCTGCTTGAACCCCCTTCTTTCCAGCTGTACTCAGAAGTGGACTGGCACTGTAGGAAGAGTGGGAGCTTGCTCACCTCTTGGTGAAGGTCTTGCTCCTCTTTAGAAAGAGAAGCATGCCGAGGAAACTCTGAAGCAGGGCTGCCTGGCCAAGGCTGAGCCCTGAGAAGGCACCAACCCCACTGGGGCCCTCGTGTGAGTTTTTTTTAGACCAGTTTCTTCCACCAGCCCTATGAAGATAAAATCACTTCCTTGCCTGGCAGGGTGGGGGCAAGTTAATTAGAGAGAACTGTCTGCCTCTTTGAAGGCACAAAGCACTGGATGGGAAACCGCTGGGATTTCTCCAGCTCCCATTGTGTCAGCACTGCCTGGAAAGTCTCACCTGTGTTTCCCACTGCTGCCCCTCAACATGGCCCCACGGTGGCAGCCCCAGCACGGAGCGGGAGCGGAGGATGCTGCCCCAGCACCACCTCTGTGCCCCCTGACTGGCAGCACGGTACGAGGACGATGTCCAGCACCAGCCCACCCAGCAAGCCCCCCCGAGGGTGCCGTGACACCCAAGGGAGGGCTCTGCTCCACTGGACACCGGCCGCCCTTCTAATCACAGCAGCCGGCGCAGGAAGCGCCGGGGCCGCAGGAAGCGGGGTGTGCCTCTCTCGGTGGCTGAAAAACAACCGCGGCAGAGGTGTGCCACAGCACCACAGCCCCGCCGAGCAGCGCAGCCCCTGCTCCGGGGCTGCTCCCGGTCTTCGGCACCCTGAGCAGCGCGGGCATCACCCTCGGTGCCCCACGGGGATCCAGCTCTGCCTATGCCTGGACCTCCCCCAGTATTCACACGGCCATGGCATCACCTGTGCTGCCAGCCCCGAGCCCTGCCAGGGCACAGCCGCTGCAGGATGGGGTGCTGCTCCCCTTCAGAGAGGCAGCAGGGCAGCACGGGTGGCATGTGGTTTCCATTAAAGGGTGTTAAGGACCCTTCTTCCTGAACAGGTCATGCTGTCCCCTGCCCTGCCAACTTGTCTCAGGCTGCCCCTGCTCTTGGCAACAGGCAGCCATCCACACTTGCTGCTGGCCAGACCTGGCTGATGGCTGGTGGGGCTGGGGGCCAGGGCACCCTGCCTGCCACCACTGATGGCCTGTGAGGCTCAGGAGCTGCTCAATCTTTCCGCTACATGGAAAAACCTGACAGTTCAGCATTTCCTCTGTCCCGGTTTGGAACAAAGAGTCAACACTTTGACATGTAGCATAGTTATAGAGACTCTGAAATACTTTGTTTTGGAAGATACTGAAATGCTGGTTTGCAGTGTTTCACTTTGTGTCACTTCAGCTGCTGCGACACAAGAAGTTCTATTGCTACCTAGGGGGAGAAAACCTGACGTGTTCATACACTGAAAAAATCAGTACATTCCCATTAATTATTTTGGTCTTGTCATATCAACTTTCCCCAGCACCTTTTTGCACCACTCTCCGCAACCAGAGATCCGCATCAGCTCCAATTCCAGCTGCTGGGCACAAAAGCCACCCCTAAAGTGGGACTGCTCCCTGCAGAGTTTCACTCTCTCCCATCAGAGAGACCCTTCCATCCCTCTACACTGCTCAGGGCAGCCAGCACGGGCAGCCTGGCAGCTCCCTCCAGCAGAGGTATTGGACAGCTGCCTGCCTGTCTGCGCCTCAGAGCCACCGCGCACCCCAGAACCTACGGGCTGCAGTGCAGGCTGGAGTGGCCAGGGCAGGAGAGGGATGGAGTGTGGCAGGGAGTGGGGTCTGCCGAGGGCCAAGAGCAGCACTCACTGTGCTGCCGGCTCGGGCCGCAGGGCAGAGATGGTATCTCACAGATTTTCTCACGCCTCGCTCTGCATTTCCATGCATGCATGAAAGCAGGTGATGCTCGGTAGCTGCTAGAATATTGCATAGAGAGCAGGCTGCTGCACTCCCCTGGGGCTACAGTGCCATGCAGATAACCCCCAGCATGCAAGTCCTACATATCATGGGTGCTGCCGGCCTTGCAGGCCAGGAGGGAGCCTTGTGCTCTCTGGGAAGCAGGCAGCACGCCCTGGCCACACAGGACACGCTCCCCTCTTACTGTGCTTCAGCTTCTCCCCCTGGCAATGAAATACAGACATCCAACACCACAGAAACAGCCTCAAGCGTGGAGCAGGTGCCCCAAACTTAACTGGGCTGCTCCCTGCTGCCAGACTTCACCCAAAGGCTGTGGCACAGCTCCTCAGCCCAGCACAGAACTCAGAGCTTTTTCTGTGGGAATTGCTGTCACAGATCTCCGTGATTTGTAATGTCCTCTTCAGCTGCTGAAGCATGTGGCAGTCATCTGTGCCCAGAGCTGAAGCAGTTGCCACGTAGCAGGAAAGAGATGGTCCTGAATTAACTGGGCCCATTAGTGAAGCAAAGAAAGCTACAATGGTCTGGCACACAGACTGGTGAGCAAGCATGGCGAGGAACTGAGCCAAGAGAGATTCCATTCTCGAGCTGGCACGCGACCACAAGACACCTTCCTTGCTGCTGCACTTCAAGTGGTACAGAAGCAGGTATTCTGGGGTGCTGCTGCTCCCCAGCCACAATCTGGAACCCCCAGTGAGTCTCTGAGATCCTGATAAGGAAAACTCCAGAACTTGAGAATGCAATACAGAAATGGCAATGCTGCTGCCTTGGGTCTGGGGAGGCTGTGAGGAGGGCAAAAGGGTCAGATCTCCTCCTCACTTTACACACCACTGGGGTTTGCAGACAAATAAGCCCAAGGGCTGCTGGAGAGCTGTGGGGCTCAGCAGCCTGCACAAGCCATGCTGTGAAAACTTGAAGTCTACGTTCCTGAACACAGATCACTTCAATCAGGATGGCAGAGCCCAGCATGACTCTGCAAACAGCTCTGTGGGCATCATTATTAGAAGCGTCTGTGTACCAGCACCAGCCCCCCCAGCTCTAATCTCCCTCCAGAAGCAGCACTGCAGGAAGATATGTGGGTCTCCTTGCTTGCTCCATCCCACCTGGAGCAAACACCTGCCTGCTGAGCCACCAGCCAAAGGCTCAGAACAGGTTTCCCTGCCCACAGCTGGAGGCAGGCAGGTTTTGGCAAAGCAACTCCCTCGTATGGAGAGATGTCGGAACTCAAAATGTCCCTCAGACATTTTTAGAGGTTCCAGGCCTTGGTCAGAAGCATTTTAGACCCTGGCAAGCAGCTGAAAACAGCTGTGATCTTGAGTTTGAACCATGGAATGAATTACCAACTTTAAAGGTGGAACAAGCAGTCACAGAGGGTTAGATGATATAGTAAAAGTAGTCACAAATTAGAGGGTAAAATTTTTAGTATTGTACAGGGGGGTTTTAACACATGTACAGGGGGGTTTTACTTTGTACAGGGGGGTCAGGAGTTCTAAGATGGAGGAAAGTGGGCCTGATCCTGTTCTTCCTCCTTCTTCTTCCTTACCTCCATGTTCTTGGTGATGTTGGCATTTTTCTATTGGTTTAGGCTAGGGACACACTATTCAACGTAGATGATAGATATTGGCACATTATTGTAAATATAGTACACGTAATTTCTTGTATATAATGTTTGTACCATCCCACTGAGGGGCAGAGCCCCGCACGCTGCCCTGCAGGACAGAGCTGCGGCAAGGCAGCAGAACATGTTATAGATAAGCAAAAATAAACAACCTTGAAAACAGCACAGACGAACTATGGCTTCTTCTTTGGCAACGGGGCAGAAAGACAGAGACTTTCTACAATCTCGGAATCACCAACACCCACAGATTCCGACAGAGAGACTGCCATGCCCACGCATCTCCGAGGAGCAGACGGGGCTGCTCTCAGCCCTGCAGCTCACAGGCACTGCTCAGGCAGGTGAGCACGGGGCAGGTGTTGGTCCAAGGAGCTGTGGTTCTGCAGGACACCTTGAGGGAGGAGGCAGATCTTTGGGCACTTCGGGAGTGCCACACCATACGTGGGTATCAGATGTTACCTCAAGCCATCAGATTTATTTCATGCGCACAGGAGCATCTTCTGTTTTCACCTTGAAAGACAAAGAAGACAAAAGAAAAGTACATTGAATGCTACTTTGAGATGAATCAGCTGAACAAATCAGTCTTTCTCTCCCTGGGATGGTCTTGCAGGCTGGCAGGAGCTGTTTGCCACAGGCTGCAGCACAGCACACAGCCCCTCCTGCCCCCCCACACCAACAGCACCATGAGGGCTCCCAGTGGGTGCCTGACACCCAGCCTGCATCAGGGCTCAGAGCAGAGATCCCCCAGCTGGGCAGGCTGCTGCTGGGCTCTGCAGTCAGGGCAGACCTCAGCTCCTCACCTGCCCTCCTGTGAGGTCCCAGTGTGATTTTGTTGAAGAGGCAGAGGGTTTGGTTCAGCACAGCGCTGAGCCCAGATGTGCAGCTCAGTGGGTGCTGGGCTTCACGTCGAGGGGCCTGGCAGTTCAACAGCACTGATGGGTGCACACCCAGCCCATGCAGTTCTCCAACTGAAGTTTTCTCACTGGAAAATAGGAGCAATAACACATTCACTTCTCAAGGCAAGCAGCAGCCTTCTTAACACTGTCAAACTACTGTGCTAGAGCTGCTGAAGACAGGAACTGCAGCATGTTACCGACCCACACCTACCACTGGCCTCTGGAAACCATGGCTGCAGCCAGGCGTCCCCTGGGACCAGCTGTGGCTGAGCAGTCTCAAGGGATGGTGCTGACCACGCTGCCCTCCAGTGAGGGGGATTTTGGAAATACAAGCAAATGGGCTTAATAGTTTGATGCTGTGGTTACTTGCAATCGTTTGTGGTTACTTGCAATTCCCAAATAATCTGCTAGATGGCGTTATGTAATAATAGTAATAATAATAATAGTAACAAAACCAACAATGATAATTACATACTGGTTTAATTGATCCAAGCTCTAGAAATGATTTAGGCAGGTGTTTACATATTTTACTGCACGAGTACGTACTGCCCACCTTTTGTCGAGCATTTATTCAAACCCTGATGAAGTGGCATTATCTGCAATGCAAGGATCTGACACATGACACAAGAAGCTCTACTAACAACACAGAGACCAAGTTTCTCATGCTGTCTGTGAGTGTACTCAGCAACCCCAACAAGAAATTACAAGACAGCTTCTTGTTTTTCGGCTGCTGCATACAAATAAAGAGCAAAGGATTACTCATACATAATAACTAGTATTTGCTGCAGGCCCTTCAGGTCTTAGAGCTGGACTAACCAAACCAAAGGAAAGATCATGTTGCAAGAGCGGGATTTGTCCACGGCACACCCCGGCCGTGCAGGGGGCTGAGGCTGGGGCTCTGCTGGCCCTGGGATCTCTCAGAGCGTGGGGTCCAGCAGCAGCCCTGGGATTTTTATCCGTTTAAGGGGATTTGGGGCAGACGGATGCCCCGCGGTGCCCCCTCCATTCTCCCCGCCGGTGCTGACCAAAGTGCAGGAGAGCGCTATGGCATCCACCCACCCTCCGCACGTGGCCGTGGCGAGCGCGGCGGAGCGGGACGGGGCGCACGGGGGTCCCGCTCTTCCGCGCCCGCGGCAGCACCGGCGGGCGCTCCCCGCTGGAGGCCGCGCTCCGCGGCGAGCGGGAGGGGATAGGGGCCGTCCGGCCGGGCTGGCACCGCCCCGTGCCCGCCCCACGGCGCGGCGGGGCCGGGGCCGGGGCCGGGGCCGGGGCGCCGCGGCGGGCGGCGCAGAGCGGCGGCGGCGGGCGGGCGGCGAGCAGCGCGCCGCCGGCTCGGCGGGCCCGGGCAGCGGGCGCTCCGCCCTCGGTGCGCGGGGCCTCCCCTCTCCGCGCCCGCGGAGCGCGGCGCCCGCCTATATCTACGGCCGCGGCGGCCCGGCGCCCGCAAGGATGTGAGGCGGGCGGGCAGCCCAGCCGCCGCCGCCGTGGCATGCCCCCCCGCGCCCGGAGCCGTCGGCGCGGCGCCTAGCCGCGGCTCCGCGGGGCCATGCTGCCCTGGAAGCGGAGCAAGGTGGAGCTGGCGGCGGGCGAGGCGCGGCGGCAGAGCAAGCCCAAGGGGTACGCGGTCAGCGTGCACTACTCGGCCCTCACCTCGCTGGCCCGCGCCTGCCCCGAGAGCGCCCTGCACCGCGTGGGCAGCATGTTCCGCTCCAAGCGGCGGAAATTTCGCGTTACCAGCGAAGATCCCACGTATACTGTGCTCTACCTGGGCAACGCCACCACCATCCAGTCCAAGGGTGAGGGCTGCACCGACCTGGCCGTCTGCAAGATTTGGAGCAAGAGCGAGGCGGGCCGGCAGGGCACCAAGATGAAGCTGACCATCAGCGCGCAGGGCATCCGCATGGCCCACGCCGAGGACAAGGGGCTGCGCCGGCCCGGCCACCTCTACCTGCTGCACCGGGTCACCTACTGCGTGGCGGACCCGCGCCTGCCCCGTGTCTTCGCCTGGATCTACCGCCACGAGCTGAAGCACAAGGCGGTGATGCTGCGCTGCCACGCCGTGCTGGTCTCCAAGCCCGAGAAGGCGAAGGCCATGGCCCTGCTGCTCTACCAGACTTCGGCCACGGCACTGGCCGAGTTCCGGCGGCTGAAGAAGCGGGACGACGCGCGGCACCAGCAGCAGCAGCTGGTGGGCGAGCAGAGCATCCCGCTGGTGCCGCTGCGCAAGCTGCTCAACGGGCAGTGCTGCTACAAGCCGCCGGTAGAGCGGAGCCGCAGCGCGCCCAAGCTGGGCTCCATCACGGAGGACCTACTGGGTGAGGAGCAGGAAGAGCGGGCCATGCACTGCGACTGCGAAGACATCCTGGAAGCGCTGGGCGAGCCCGAGGGCGAGCTGCTGCGCCCCAGCACCGGCCGCGGCGAGAGCCCGGAGCTGGGCCAGCTCCTCCGCGACCTGGGCGAGCTCAGCCTGGGCAACGATCTGCGCTCGCTGCGCGCCGACCTGCGCGTCCGCCGCCTGCTTTCTGGGGAAAGCACGGGCAGCGAGTCCTCCCTGGAGAGCGGCGGCACGGACGGGGCCGCCCCGCCCGGCAGCGACGCCGAGCAGCCGCCCCCCGGCGACCCCGAGACCGGCTGAGCACTCGAGCCCATACGGGCGTGCGCGGTGCCGCCGGGGCGCACCGGGTTCCCTCCGGGAATGCACGGCCCCGCCGGGGTGCACCGGTTCCTTCTGACCCCTCTGGGAATTCCCGGTCCCTGCCGGGAGTGCACGGCCCCAGCGGGGCGCACCGGCTTCCCTCCGGGAGTGCACGGTCCCTTCCGGGCGTGAGCGGCGCCGCAGGGGCGCACCGGGTTCCTTCCGGCCTCTCCTGGAATGCACGGTCCCTTCCGGGCGTGCACGGCCCCACCGGGGCGCACCGGACCCCTCCGGCCCCGCCGAGGCCCCTCGGGAAATTCGCGGTCCCGCCGGTTCCCCGCGGTGCCCCCGCGTCCCGCAGCATCCCGGGGAGCGGCCGCCCCTCCCGTGCCGGTGCCGGTGGCCGCCGGAGCCGGACCCCAACTCGCTGCGGCCCGAGGAGGGGAGGCGGCCGCGGGCTGTTTACCTCCGGCTCAGCCCTTGAAGATCTGCCAAATTCCTGGAATAGCTTTCCCCGGGGAGGGCGGCGGGAGGGAGGTGTTGCGCCTTGTTTACAGTCAGAAATCTCATATCGAGAGCCCCCCCACCACCCCCCAAGCCGTTTTCTCCATTAAAGTCACTCCATCGTGCTGTCGTGTCCAAGAGGTTTGCACTGTTGTGAAGTTCGGGGTTTTTTATTGTTTTTAAGTTAGACCCTTTTTTTTCGGCCCCGGTCCTGTCCCCGGTCTCAATGCTCTAGATCTTTTGCTGTGCAAAAGAAGACTACTTGTGGCTGTTCACCTGTACATAGGGAAATGTATGCAAATACATTTTGTTATTTTTAAGAACACCACCATTGCGATCTCCTCTGTTTGCACATATGTGAAGAAAATAAAGATGATGGTAACTTAAATGGGGTCACTGTGGCAATTTGGCTGTGTGTGGGTTGCTGTAAGGAGCTGGGGGTGGAGAGATCCCTTGGGAAGTGTAGGTGCGGGAGAGCACTGCACAAAAAAGCTGTTACAAGCGTCAAGCATGATTCCCAAGCTCGCTGGAAATGCTACACTACAGGGAAACACACTGC